TTTTCACCTGAGGATATTTCCCATTGATTTTTAGAGAGAGTGGAAGGGAAGGGGAGAGACAGAGAGAGAAACATTGGTGTGAGAGAGGCCCATTGATTGGTTGCCTCCTGCATGTGCTCTGACCAGGGCCTGGGATCGAGTCTGCAGTCTAGGTACATGCCCTTGACCGGAATTGAACCCGGGACCCTTCAGTCCGAGAGCCAACACTCTATCCACTGAGCCAAACCGGGGAGGGCCCAAGTCTTAAGTTGACTAAAAAGAGAGGCCTGGACAAAGGCATCCAGTTGTTCTATTGAGGTTAGGAACCACAGTCTACCCTCCTAATGCAGAAGGGTAAGTTAGATGAAAAAGTGAGAAACATTGGTAGATAGGCAATTATTAATACAGAATTGAGAATTACTAGACAATGTTTATGTGGTTAAAAGTTGTGTTCATTGAACCTAGAATATTTCTCTTTATTAAAAAAAATGCATTTTATATTGTTAAGTTTTTCATGTCTTCATTTTATAGCAAAAGGCCAGTAAGGTAAGGCAGTAGAAAAGATTAGCTCCTGATACATGTTGAGCTTAAAAAAGAGCAAGTTACAGAAGAACAGGTGTGCTGTGTTGTGTAGTGTGCATGCATGCTGTACACACAGTATGGAAGGTTGCACATACCAATGGTAAACTGTCTACAACCAGGGACTGGGCGTCAGAGAGGAGGAAGGAGGCCCTTGTACTTCTCTGCTTTGTATATTTACTGGTGTTTGAATTTTTTTTACAATGAACATTAATAATTTTTGGAATTTTTAAAAAGGAAAATTGATAGTATTTTAAAATCAAAATTAATTTTAATTCATGTTTTGTATTTTTCTAAGAAGTAACTTTTTTATTAAAAAACTTTTTGTAAAACTTCTGTAAGGGTAGTTAGAATTGAAAACATATGAAATTTTAAATAATACCATGAAATAAGTTGTAACTTCTAATTATATGATACTTGGCACAGTTTACATTAGGAATCAGTTTTAATCAGATTTTCTTGTGTAGATTTATTTGAAAAAGAAAACAAAACCAAAACTGTTTAGTCTAGAAGAAGCCATTAAACATGAGAGTGCTTTTCCGGAAGCCATGTGTTTAGCTCTGCAGTGGGCGCCACGCTTACCACGCGGCCACGGAGGCTGCCCTGGTCACCTGTCAGCCTCTTCGTAAGGTGTCCTGCGCATCGTCAGCCCTCACCTTGGAAGACAGACTGAAGACAGTCAGTGACTGCAAGCTGGTCAGCACAGACCAGAACTGGAACACAGCACGGGACTGACTGTGACGGAGGACAAGCTGGTTTCACAGGAATTCAGCTCAGGCTTTCACAGTCTTAAGCGACGAGTGTTCAGGGTCTCCATGATTTGAGAGATGTTGCCTAAGCAATAGACCTGAAGACACTGAGTTTGGGAGGGCAATGACAAATGCTTCAGAACAAAGGGTACAAAAAAGCCAAGCCATTCAAGTAAAATACCAGCAAAAGTTCCTTGGGGGGGAAGCTGCATATATTTCTGTAGCTCTGGAGTCTGTAAAAAATGTTAATTACTTTTCAAACTGCCTACTAGCCCTTAATCATAAGAAACGCTGCTGAATCTTAAATTAATTTTTAATTACATCAGAAAATTAATTCAAATGAAAACCATATTGAGATGCCAATTTCCATCTGTCAGGTTGGTAAAAATTAAAAAGTTAGACAATGCTCACTGTTGAGAAGACAATGAAGAAAGAAAGGAAGAGAGAGAAAGAGAAAGAGAAAGAGAAAGAGAGAACTCTTAACCGTTACTGGTGAGAGTGCAAAGTGCTTTAACTGCTCTGGAGGGCAGTTGGGCAGCATCTGTCAAAGTGCATTTCCTTTTCAACCCAGATCTCAGTTTGAGGAGCTTTATTCTACACGGGTGTGTCATTTCATTGTGTGTGCAGTGCAGGTAAACTCAACTCTCTATTAAAGAATTGTTTGTAAAGAAATGTTTGGATACCACAGTGTCCATTTAAAAGGGATTTGTTTGAGAAGAAAAGCAATGTGGTGTATCCATACAATGGAATATTATGGGGTGTATAAAGAAAAAGAAGAGAAAGTTCTTCACATATTGATACAGGAAGGTCTCCAGTCTAAACTGTAAAAGACAGGGATGAAGGAGTACAGAGCTGTATATTTAAATATGTTTTTATTGAATTTTTTTTTTTTTTTTTTTTTTTTTTTTTTTTTTTTTTTTAGAGAGAGAGAGGAAAGGAGAAATATGCGCTCCAACTGGGGACTGAACCCACAACCTAAGCATGTGTCCTGACCAGGAATCGAACTGGCAACCTTCTGATGCATGAGACAATGCTCAACTAACTGAGCCACACCAGCCAGGGCCAGAGCTATGTATTTAATACTTTGCTGTTTATATAAGAAATGGTGAGAAGGCTCTAAAGAAACTAATAGAAGTGATTATTGTCTGGCCAATGTGGTTCAATGGTTGAGTGTCAATCCATGAAGCAGGAGGTCATGGTTTGATTCCCAGTCAGGGCACATGCCCGGGATTTGGGCTCAAGCCCCAGTAGGGGGCGTGCAGGAGGCAGCCAATTGATGACTTTCTCATCATTGATGTTTCTCTCTCACTTTCCCTTCTTCTCTGAAATCAATAAAAACTTTTTTTAAAAAGTGATTATTTAAAGGTAATCCAGTCTGACCCTCATCAAATCACTAAGACTATTTTTGCTAAGGTCACCAGTGACATACACATTAAATAAGTCCACTGGACACTGCAGTTTTCATCTTACTTGACCTCTCAGTAGTCTTCCAACACAGGTGACCTCCTTCCTACTCCAAACAGTGGAAGCTGAGTGCATAGTGTTGGGCTCTCTGTAGCAATAACTCATTTAATTCTTTAACAGCTCTTTAAAACAGGTGTCGTTATCCCCATGGTACAGATGAAGCTGGGCCTTAGAGAGGTTAAGTAACGAGTTCCATCTGAGTAAGGGGGAAAGGAGGGTTTAAATTCAGACACCATCCCTCCTGCTGCCTCTGTGAAACACTCATCACCCTGCTGTCCTGGGCTTTCTTCCTCTTTCTGTTTCTCTCTGGTTTCTTTGTGTCTCCTTCTTCTGCCTGGTCTTAGGTTTTGGAGGTTTCTTAGGGTTTTTTTCTTGGGTTTTCTTCTCACCCCTGCTAGGCAGTCTTACCTCACCATGGCTTTACTTGCCACATAGAAGGTGATGAGCTCCCAAAAATATATTTTATAGCTTAGAGCTGCTTTGGTCTGTAGACCCAGATATCCAACCATCCCAGCCCATCTAAAACCTAATTTTTAACCTGCACCTCCTATGTTGCCTTCTTTGCTAAATGGTACAAGCCGTCGTCCAGCGGCTCAGCAGAAACCTGGGAGTCCTTCCTGGTCCCGTTATCAATCACCAGGTCCTATTTATGTGTCTCATGCATCTCCTTCCCTCAGGAAAGCACCCTCCTCAGTTTCACTTCCACTTTCTCATAGGATCCTGCACTTGTCTTTCTCCCTCTTACAGCCTTTCCGTGAGGATATTCACCTGCTTGAGTGAATATACTCATGGAAACTTCTGGTTTTTAAATTCCTTAGCGTGGCATTTATTTTTTATTCCTTTAGAAAAGACATTCAGGGAGGAACCAAAACAATCTTACTGTTACTCTATCCCCAGTGGCTAACCGAGTACCTGTTTGGCACAGATGCATCATTAAATATTTGCTTAAATGAAAAAAGAAACAGAAATTTATATAGGGAAACGCCTAACAAAACAAGAATGGGTAGTGTGGAGGGTGAATCCTGGAGACAGACTTACAAATAAGATTTCTGAGAGTCAAGCCATGGGAGGGAGTTAAGGAATTGGCAGTAGGATTGAGAAAAATAGGGGAATTGGGGGTGTGGAATTGCAGGACTCCAACTGTCATTACACGTGGGAGGTAAGATCAGGGGTGTCAGCAGTGCAGCAAGCTGCCCTAGCTGGTTTGGCTCAGTGGACAGAGCATAGGCCTGTGGGCCGAAAGGTCCCAGGTTCAAATCCAGTCTAGGGCACCTTCTTCGGTTGTAGGCTTCTCCCTGGGCAGGGCGGTGGAGGAGTCAACCAATCAGTGTGTTTCTCTCACATCGATATTTCTCTTCATCTTTCCCTTTCTCTTCCATTGTCTCTAAAAATCAATGGAAAAATATCCTCAGGTGAGGATTTTAAAAAAAAGAAAAAATAATGCAGTAGATTTCTAGCTTTGACAACTGAGGGGATCATGTTACCGTTCCTTAAGGGGATTGATGGTGTGAAAAAAGAATGACTTAGTTTTGGACCTGTTGACTTTGAAGAACTTCCCTCGGGACTCCCAGATGGAGAGAACCAATAGGCAGTTATAAAAATGGAAATTGACTTTAGGAGAAAGATACAGGCTTTATCTCATCACCAGTAAAATACTATTGGTAATTCAAGTGTTAATTGATAAAAGTTCAACCACTGAAACTTTTCATCATTGGTACAGAATAGGTAGATAATATGGTAATTTTTAAATTGGGTGTGGATGTTATAAGATCTATTGTATGTCATACAGAAAGTGAATTTTTACATTAATATTCAACATCCTGTGAATATCTTACCTAATAATAGACAAACATGTAAACTGACCATACCTCCACTATGCCCACAGCCAATCAGGAACATGTATGCAAATTAACCCAACAAAGATTGTGGGTTAATTTACATATGAGGCATGAAGCAGCCAGGAGGGTCCGGACACCTGCTATAAGGAGGAGAGGGGCGATGGAGGGAGCTACAGGAGCAATGCTCTGGCCCCTGGGCAGTCCTGGAGCAAGGACTTGCAGGCTCCTGAGTGGCCCAGGAGCGAAGCCAATCTCATTTTAATTATGTGATTATGTTAATGCTAATTATACCTTTTTACCTTAAAGATGAAATAAAAACTTAGGTTTGTAGATCAAATTCTGTGAGAACTTGCTGCCATGTGATTTAATGTTTTTTCTCTTATTTTTCTAGGGCCTATTCCCTGGTGGATTCCAGTCAAGTGTCTACATTTCTGATTTCAATTCTCCTGATAGTCTACGGTAGTTTCAGGTAAGATGCTCTCAAAGTGAGACTAATCTCAGTGGGAGGTGAGATTAGCACCAAAATTTAACTGCTCTGTGAAGAGAAATATGGCTGGCAGGAATTGAGTCAGAACAGGATAATTCTGATATTTCATCTTTAATTTGGCTGCTGTTAAAACACTTTTTGGTTTTGCTTATATGACTTTGGAATTTTAATGGAAACATGAGTTGCTTTAATTCTGGTTCTGAAATATGACTCCCATAATATGACATACTTATTGAGAAGGTTAAGGAGATAATCCTTGACAGTTATTCTACAGGCTCAAAGGGAACAACGTTTTTCTTAATATGGAAGCATTGACACAGGGTGAGCCACATGAAATTGCCTACAGGCAACTTTTTTGACCTACACAAATAACTGATGGTTCAGCCTAATTATGGCCATTAGTATTTACCAAGTGTTTTCTCTGCTGACTTTGGGAAGGCTGAGACTGGGTCCTCTTGACATTGCTGTTCTAGAAGGCAGCCGCAGGAATAGAAGTTAGACACTTACTCCTCCTCTCACTGTGCTTTCTTTTCTTTTTTTCTTTTTCTTTTTTTCACTGTGCTTTCTTAAAAGGAACTTCAATATACTCAAATAGTTCTGTGGCTGACACACTTAACAATAAAGGTTACATGAGAAATTTTATTTAATTTATTATTATTTTTAAATATATATATTTTATTGATTTTTTTACAGAGGAAGGGAGAGAGAGAGAGAGCTAGAAACGTCGATGAGAGAGAAACATCGACTAGCTTCCTCTTGCACACCCCCTACCGGGGATGCACCCCAACCAATGTACATGCCCTTGACCGGAATCGAACCCAGGACCTTTCAGTCCGCAGACCGACGCTCTACCACTGAGCCAAACCGGTTTTGGCTCACATGAGAAATTTTAAATTGATAACTTGAAAGGGAATGATGGTGATAAATGAAATAGGCATAAGAATTTTGAAATATTATATCTGGGTTTTAATAGAACTTAGCAAAATTACAGGCTTTATCTTAACACTGCATAGACAGGTACAATACTGTTGGTAATTCCAGTATCAACTGAATCAAGTTTTAATCATTGAAACTTCTATTGAGAACCCTATGTTCATAATGAGTCTTAGGAAGCATAGTTAAGCCAGAGCAACTGAGAACCTTATCACATAATCTTGATGTTTTTGTATTGCTGTCCTTTGGACAAGTTTATTATTTTTTCTCTTGTGTATATGTCAGTATTTCCAAACACTCGGTAATTTTGTTTTTTAATATATTTTATTGATTTTTACAGAGAGGAAGGGAGAGAGATAGAGAGCTAGAAACGTCGATGAGAGAGAAACATCGACCAGCTGCCTTTTGCACACCCCCCACCGGGGATGTGCCCGCAACCAATGTACATGCCCTTGACCGGAATCGAACTCGGGACCCCTCAGTCCCCAGACGGACGCTCTACCGCTGAGCCAAACCGGTTTCGGCGCTCGGTAATTTTTTTAAAAATCTTTAGACCTACAACCCTAGTACTACAGCAAGTCTTTATTTAACGTTAGTAAGTTCTGTGACTTAAAGTGAAATGCCGTATAATGAAGCCAGTTTTACCAAAGGCTGATTGATGTAAACAAGGGTAAAGTTCTTACAGCATCTTATCAGTGTCACAACTAAATGGCATTATTTGTACTTTCATTAGTATGTGTGACCTTTTGTTTGGCCTGTATTTATATATTGGGTACATTTTTATAGTTTAAATCATTTCTATTCTTTTTTAAATATTTTTATTGATTTTTTACAGAGAGGAAGAGAGAGGGATAGAGAGTTAGAAACATCAATGAGAGAGAAACATCGATCAGCTACCTCTTGCACACCCCCTACTGGGGATGTGCCCACAACCAAGGTACATGCCCTTGTCCGGAATCGAACCTGGGACCTTTCAGTCTGCAGGCTGCCGCTCTATCCACTGAACCAAATCGGTTTTGGTAAATCCTTTATATACTGATTATTTCACCTAAAAAATATATTTTCCACAGTCGTCGTCATACTAATTTTAGTACTAGTAATTTGGTATTTCTTTGTGGTACTGTCTTATTCCACTCATGTTGTACATCTGGGTTGTAAAGGTAACCATCTTTTTATGTTCTTTGCTTTGGTTGAATTATTCAAGTTAAATATTCAAAACTTAAAACACTTCAGCAGAGAGTATAAACTGGCTTTTACTATAAAAGTGCTGTATTGTTTTGCAGACAGGTTATACCAATTTAGGATCATGCATGTTTTAAACAAAATTTATGCTTATAAATACACCACAGAATTATATCAATAGAAAAGATTTCTCTGGTGAACTTTATTTTACAAATGAGGAAACTGAAGCTCAAGAAGATGAGGTGCCTTGATAAAGATTACACAACTCCTTTGGTAACAAAATCTGGTTTGGGACCCAGTTAGGTTTTGGTCCCAGTACATCAGCAATTCTTTTCTGCAAAACAATAAATTGTGAAGCCTTTAGTTATACATTTAAATTGCCCTCGTTGAGTAAGTTTGGAAGTGTTTTCTCCTCTGTTGTTTTCTGAATCAGATTATATAAACTTATATTTCTTCTTAAATATATGATAGAACTCAACCAGTGAAGCCATCTAAAGTCTGGCTTTTTGTGGGAAAATTCTTCGTTGTTTTTTTGTGTGCTTTGTTCACTACTTTCCCCTCTTATTATGAAGTACTAGCAAGGAGCCCCAACCAGTTTGGCTCAATGGATAGGGCGTTGGCCTGTGGACGGAAGGGTCCTGGGTTCAGTTCCCGATAGGCACATACCTTAGTTGCAGGCTCCTCTCCGGGTTGCTAGGCGTGCAGGAGGCAGCCCTCGATGATTCTTTCTCATCATTGATGTTTCTCTCTCTCTTCTCCCTCTCCGAAATCAATAAAAATATATTTTTTAAAAGTACTGGTAAGGATGTTTTTCTTTTTGTGGTAAAATATACATAAAATGAAATTTCCCATTCATTTTTAAGAATACAGTTCAGATAGCAGATACAAGGTTTTAAAAACACGTTTTTGTCTCTCTTTTTGTAACCATTCTGATACTAGGTGTGGAATGATTTCTCTGGCTTCAATTACATTTCTCTAATAACTGGGATTAGGATGCTGAAAAGCTGTTAAGTATCTTTTCATGTGCTTATTTTATTGGCCCCGTGATTTTTCTTTTTTGGTGAAATGTCTGTTCCAGTTTTGGGTTGTTTGTCTTATATGGAAGAGTAACAGTTCTTTAAATATTCTAGATACAAATAATTCTGTTTGTTTTTGTTTTTTACAGTTTTTTTTCATCTCTTTTATCCCTCCTCCCCTAAAGTATTGATAAGGTATATTTTAAAAAAAATAAAAAAAAAAACCACAAAAAAAAAAAACAGCAGCACAGGTTTATAGAGATATATTGTACCTACTATTTTTAAAAATATATATTTCTTTATAATTTCTGAGAGGAAAGGAGGAGAGAGAGATAGAAACATCAATGATAACAGAGAACCACCAGTCAGCTGCCTCCTGCACAGCCCCCACTGGGGATCGAGCCTGCAGCCCAGGCATGTGCCCTTGGCTGGAATGGAACCTGGGACCCTTCAGTCAGGAGGCTGACGCTCTATCCACTGAGCTGAGCTGGCTAGAGCTAATGTACCTACTAAGTTCTTCCATATCAAGTGTACAATTCAGTGGTTTCAGAATATTACTAAGTTGTGTAAACATCACCACAATCCAATTTTAGGACATTTTCATCATCCCCAAAGAAATCTGTACCCATGGGCAGTCATTCTCCCCCACCTCCACTCTAGGTAACCATTAATCTTTAACTTTCTGTCTCTCGAGATTTGCCTGTCTTCCTTTTGTTGTTGTTGTTGTTTAATTAATAAACTTTTACACTTCTAAGAATAAATTTTAAAATCTAATAATTTAAACCTTGTTTGGTTTTTTTTCTGTCCTGGGAATTGAGAGCAAACTTGTTTACATGTAAACTTGCCCTTAGGCTGTCAAAACTGTCTTCTTTTTTAACATAGGTATTTAAAGCAGCACATGTCCCTCTTAAGTACTGTTTTAACTGCATCCCATAAATGTTACATTTTAATTTCATTCCAGTCAAGATGTTTTCTAACTTTTCTGGTGATTTTTAATTTCTTTTGACCTATGATTTTTAAAAATACTTTCCTAATATTTGAGGATATTTCAAAATTCTCTCTGCTGTTGAAAGGAATTTCAACCACCGAATTCAGTTTCGTTGTGGTCAGAGACACACTTTCAATGATTCCAAACCTTTTAAATGTGTTGAGGCTTGTTTTAGCATACAGTCCATCCAGGAGGCTGTTCGTGTGCAGCTGGAAAAATCAGCCTTCGGCAGTTGAATGCAGTGGGTGACGTCAGCTGGTTTGTGTTTTAGAAAGGTGGTTCTGGGTTGTGTATGGGAAATAGATTGTTGTGTCAAGAGGAAACCTGGGAGGGTCTGTTGCCCTAGTACAGGCAACAAATGATGATAGCCTTAACTAGGCTGATAGTGGTGGAGTGAGATATCAGTAGGTGAAGGATGAGATTGCTGAGGGGATGGATATAGTATGGATGAAAGAGAGAGTCAGAATGAGTCCCAAGGTTTATGTCCTAAACACCTGGATCCAAAATGGTGCCATTTTTGAGCTAGAAAGCTCCAAAGAAAAGCAGATCATAAAACACAGTATAAAAATTTTGTGAAGTAGACTGCTTATTTCCCACCAGGCTTTCACATCTCCTAGTACAGAGGGGAAAATGATATCAAGTAAAACTAGATTCTAAAAGCCAAAGCAAATCTTTGATTTAGGAGTCCTTATGTTTACCATCCTTTAGCTGAGCTTTGCTAGATTTCCTATATACTTAAAGCTGACACCCATCTCTTTAACCTTTCCAGCCGCTCAGAAACAAAATAGCATAATGACTCCTCTTAGTAGTAAGTTCCTAAAGAGTTTGACAGACCTACAGGAGAGGATTGAGAGGGAGAGGGA